GTGTTTGTTGGCAATCTGTATATCTTCTTTGGAGAAATGTCTGTTTAGGACTTCCATACTGTTCTCCATAGTGGCTGTATCAATTCACATTCCCACCAGCAGTGCAAGAGGGTTCCCTTTTCTCCACACCCTCTCCAGCATTTATTGTTTGTAGATTTTTTGATGATGGCCATTCTGACTGGTGTGAGGTGATACCTTGTGAAAGGATGCTCAACATCACTAATCAGTAGAGAAATGCAAGGCCTGCTTGATCTTTAATCCGTGTTCACTCAGGCACTACCACAGGCTCAGAGATACACTCCTCTGAAGGCCAGCAAGGCCTGGAGGTGCTAAGCGACCCCCTGTCGAGGCGCCATCCAGCCATGGCATGGCAGGGACAGGGACGCCAGATCACACCTGGGAGCAGCCCTGCAGGTAGCCAGCTCACTTTCTTTTATAAGCCAGCGGCGAGATATCAGTCAGCCAACTTTCCCACACATGCCCGCTACTGTGTCCCTTTCAAGCTTCTGGAGGGGCTTAGCGGCAGAGGGGCCTACGGACTGCCAGGTGAGCTGCTTAAAAACGCCCACTGCTTCCTTGTGTCAACTACGAACAGCTCCATCACTGAACGAAAGTGCAGGAATCAATCAGGCACCAAGGCTAGTGTAGGACATCAACCAGCATCCACGGACCCTGGTTTCAAGTATCACTGATGGAGAGATAGGTGGCTGCCCCCTTGCCATGAGTCCCACACATGCACACGGCTCTACCCCCTGACATCTCCAGTAATCCACCCTCAAGCTCTGGGAGGCCGACTCTGTCACCCACGTACAGGTGGGGCTTTGAGAGAAAAACAGTACCAGTCTCCTCTGCATTCTGGACCTTCTTCCAGGCACCAGTGTGACAGCGCATGTGAAGATCAGTGCAAGTACACACGGGCTGTGGCCTCACGGGGTTTCGCCCTAGGAGCTGGCAGGGGTAGTGTTGACATGGACTTAACACCGTGGCCCGCATCTGTGGGCCTTCCTGGGCCAGCCCTCCTCACTGGAGCAGAGAAACCGTTTGCGGCTCCACAGCCCCACTGTGAACAGGGGGCAAACTCTCAGTGTGGCCTCAGGGTCCCTGGCTCAAAGCAGGCATGGCCACGGACTCTGCAAAACTCAAGCAGCTGGAGCAGAACACTGGGTGGCGGGGGGAGGGTGGTACCGAGGGCAGGGTGCTCCCAACAGCACCCGTCCCAGCTCGGGAGGGCTGCTGGGGCCCTGGGAGGTGGCCAGTGTTTGCCAGAAACAGCTTGCTCTTCATGAGACAATGGGTCCACTGTTGACTGGCTGGGGCCTTGATTAATATTTGAAAAACCAAAAGAAGTGGAAAATTCCACCTGCGTGGGTGAAGACTGGGCCTGGGACATGTCAACAACCCTAATGGTCTTGTTCCCTTGCTGACGCATAGGACAGAGAAACAAAGGTCTGACAAAAGCGACAGCCTGCGGGCATCGCTGCACTTGGGTCCAAAGGAATTTCCCTATTGGGCCACGGAGATCATTTGTTTATTTCTTGTCCCACCTCCCCTGCCCCTAAATTTACACAGCACTTTTAAGTCCTTCAGCTTTTTCCCACCTCTTCAGAGTCTCCCAACAGCCCTGCCAGGCCACCAGGGCTGATGTCAGCTTCATGTTATGGATGGGGAAACTGAGGCCCCAGGACTCCCAGGGCCTCATCCGAGGCTGGCACTGGGGAGTAACTAGCACAGCCAGGGATCTGGAAACCTGGTCTCTCCACCCCCCAGCAGCGGCACAGAACCTGTCCCAGGGGTTCTGGGGTCACAGCCATGGGTACTAGACAAAGTGGTCTTCCAGGCTCCAGGAGAGGTGCCCTTCACCCCACCAGAGGAGGAAGAGGAGGAAGAAACTCAAACCAGCTCTCCTGGGCAGGCAGGCTTTGGTGCCAGCCTAGGAGCAAGGTATGCACTCATTCATTCATTCATTCAAGCATTTCACAATTGCCTCCTAAATACCAAGACTTGAAGGCACACTGCACAGTGGCTCTTTCAGAAACCTAGACTCAGCAGAATTCGTGGCCAAAGGGGGAAGATCAGAGCATCTGCACTTCCCTCACAGACTTGAGTCACCTCATTGCCATTACACTGTCTCATCCGCCCACTTTACAGTAAAGGAAACTGAGGCTCTGAGAAGGGCAGTGACTTCCAGAGGTTACAGAGAGAGAGGAAGCTGAGACCTCCTGACCCGCAATGGCCCTGCCTCCTGTTTAAAGCCACGACACTACTGGACTTAGGCATTCAAACAAATGGTGTTCCTTCCAGCAGGCCACCTCGGAGGCTGCATGCTTAACCAACAAGGCCCTCTTGTGGAGGGACACTTTTTGGAAGGAACTTCCAAGCCAGAGCAGACCCCTTCCCCCCGAAAAGACAGGCAGGCACACCTCGCTGGCCCACAGAGAACACCAGCTGTAGCTGAAGGGCTCTCCTTGGGACGGCCCACTCTGCAGTCCTGCCGTGGGCATCAGAGAACCAGGGCCAGGGCAGTGTCACCTCTGTGCCCACACACACCCAGCCCTGGACCCAGGGCACTGGGGGATCACTCAGTCTGTGTCCCAAGTCAATGGCCAGCACCTGCTGCCCAGGTTCCTTCCTCCTACCCGATGCCCAGCCACCTCGGCACCATGCTGGCCTCACGTTTCCTCTCTCCTTTGCCCACCAGCTTCTTCCCCTGGAGAAACGATCTTAACCTTGCCCTTTCTTGAAAGAAAACCACCCCACTCCCACCTCCAAACTCCTCCTCCCCTGCCTGTCTCACCCCTTCTTGCCAAGGACCTAAGCCAGGGGCCCACCTCAGGCCAGGCCACCCCTGGCCACTCTGCCTCATCTGACACCTTGGCTGCCCCCTCACTCCCAGGTTTTCCTGGTGCAGGCCCTCCTAGCCTTCACCTCCAGGGAGTTCTCCTTCCCCGCGGACCTATCCTCCTCCCTTCTCTACCACCCCCATAAATGTCTGACTCACAAACTCTATCTCCAGATAGAGGACTAACCTCTGCATCCCTGGTTGTCCCCAAAGCCCTCACACTCAACAGCCCAAGCTCCTACAGCAGCACCTGCTTTGGGGCCAGGTGTAAAGCTGGCACAGCTCGAAGCCTGGCCCACAGGGACTCGGCTATTTGTCCAGTGAATGCATTTTGGTTAGCACCTGCCTCCTCGCTGGTCTCAGAGGGACTGGCCTCCCACAGCCTGACATAGCCACCCAGGTGGGCTTTCTAAAACTGAAAACTGACCACCACCAAAATGTCTGCTGTGGTTCCTCTGCACCATGGGATAAAGTTCATGATCTCAAGAGCTGGAAAATGAGGCTGTCTGCATCTGCGCTTCCACAGCAGGCTGGGCACATGTGTCCTGGAACATGCTCTCACCGCCCTCATCCTCAGTCCAAAGGCACCTTTGCACCCCAGGGCTGGCACCCTGCACGTGTTTGCTCAGAAGAAAGACAACTATTAGAGCTGCAAATGATCTCTGGGACCCCAGGGCTCAAAGCAACTCAGAGAGGTTGAGCAAGGGGCCCAGGGTGGCCCAGCCCAGGCATGGGTGAGGCAACAGCCTCACCTGAGCCACTCTCCTTGGTTAGAAACCAGACCAATCCTCTGGAAGCGTCACCTGAAACCTACATGTGCGCATGCCAGAGCCCCCAGCTCTAGCTGGGCCCACTCCATGCTGGCCCAAATCTTAATCAGGCAGGTGGGCCAAGCCTGGTGCACAGAACCTCAGCAAAAGAGCTGCTTGACTAAGTCAACCTCGCACCAGCTGACAATTTCATTCCTCCTTAGGCCTTGGTCTCATGTAAAGAATGGAGCTAACTTGGCCTACAAGTTTAAGGGACCTTGAGTTGGTCACCCCCACCTTGTCCTTTGCAAACCCAGGCAGCTGAAGCAGCAAAGTTCCAAGCACGCTGATCTGCTGTTGGCCCAGCTGATTTTTATTAACCTTCCCCCAAACCACTGTGCCTCAAAGGATGGTCCTGGTCCACCTGCGCAGAATTACCAGCAATGTCAAGTTAAATGCAGATTCCGGACCCTGCTGGACCTGAGGGGCTGGGGTGGCTCTCTGAAAGGCGGGCCCAAATTTTTCATTTAACGCTGCTCATAAATCCTGAGCTCAAGGAAACTCGAAAACCCGCCTCCAAACCCAAAGGGTGAAGACTTCCGCCTCCGGAGACCGAAGTGTTAGTGTCAGGCCTCATTTTGTGAAAACATACGTTGACCATAACACCCGGGGAAAGGGAGGGTTTCTATTACACGAATTACATATAACTTAGTTCCTGCGAGGAACTAGCTCCCGCGAAGAACTCAATGAGGCTTTGCTGTCCCCGTCCCACTGTTTTTGTTTCCCGGGGCTCAGCCGTAGCGTCAAGTGGAGCCCCAGCCTCGGCGTCCAGCCGGGGTCCTCCGGACCCACCAGACCTCTCAGCCCGAGGCCGCCGGGGACTCCGGGCTGCGGCCGGGGCCGTTCGGGGCGGGTGGACCCGGGGTCTAGCGCGTCCCCGCTACTCACCGTGGGCAGTTCGGCCCGAGTGCAGGGACGGTCGGCGGCGGCCGGGCCCCGCTACACTTTAACTGGCGGCGCCGGCGCTCCGCGCGCTCCGGGCGGCCAGGAGGCGCACCGCGGGCCTCTCGGACCGACCTGCTCCGGGAGGGGACCGGACGCCAGGCGGGCCCGCCGGGCTTGGGCGAGCGGGGCGTGCGTGCACTCGTGCACCTGGCTCACTGCACGCACGGGTGCGCTGAGCCGGCGCGTGCGCGGCTGCTGGAGAGCCGCTCGGACCCAGGCATCCCTCGCGGCCCCTGCAGGCCGGGACACTTCTTTCCCT